GAGTCAATAGAGTATAAATATAAGTCAAAGTAAATCACAAGTCAAAGTAATGAATTTTTAATACAAACATTCTACATTACTTAGACATGATTAAATATTTTAAATGTCTAATTTGACAGTGTACAGATTTTAGAATTTTCGTTTAAATTTAAATACTCCGGGAGGCCTATGAACCTATCTGGTATTTTATTATAAATTCTTATTTCCATGCAGCCAAATGTTGGCCAAAAGTACACCACATGTAGAAAAGTTTTATGGATAATTAAAAATACAAGTAATACAAAACAAATTTGCACACTTGCAAATTGTAAGATTAGGCATGTCTAAAAGGTCATTTTTTTGTATGTTTCAATGAATAGGTGTAATAAACATATACTTCAAAAGTTTCGAACGACAGCTATGTGGCAAACTTTTTGTTTCACGTTTATGACCCCATTTATCGTTTATTGTTTTGTCGTGTTTCGCACTGATCAACTTTTATGATCATGGATTCTGCCTAAAATAATACTTAATTTAAAATAAGTAAGAACGTCTTTAAAATAGGCAAAACACGAAAAAAAAATAGTTATGTAAAAATGTAGTGGGTCTCAACTTAAATTATCAAAGACTTATTTTTATGGCACAGTTATCACATACAACATTTATACCTCTTATAACTCAATTGTTGTTTCAGATGCCAAAGCCTAAAACGATAAAATTTTAGCAGGCTACTACTTCGATATAGATAACAAAAATAATTAAATGATAGAGAACTATAAAGAAAAATCACAAAGATCCGACACAGAGCACCCCGACTCCGTGTGGTCTTCCCTATCCCTAGAGTGAACATCAAAAGGCGGAGCCAGAACCTCGTGTCGGAGGTATAAATTGGCCTCGCGGGCTTGCTCCACCCAGGATCGACATAGCGACAGTTCTGCAAAGAGCATGGAAGAGTCAAATTAAAAATGAAACAATATTTTTTAAGCTATTGCACAGCTTATATCGCAGGCTTTGAGCGCGGCGAACGAATCAATAAATTCCGTAACGAAAATAAAATCTAACACCACCCACTTCACCTACCACGCAAGAGGAAAGATTTGATTGTTTTTATGCATTGAATAGGCTCCTAAACCACTGAACAGATTTGAAAATTTCTTTCACTGTCTCGAAGCTACATTATCCCCGGATGACATAGGATATATTAAATTTTCAAAAAACTAGGAATCCTTACTAAAACTTGAATAATGTAAACCAAAGTGTACAAAAATTACCTAAAATATTGTTTGCATCGCGTGCGCTGCTAAAACTATTGATAATTGTATAAAATGTACTACGAATATGTACTACGAATTTGCAGAACACATCATTATTTATAAAAAGTGTTGCGACAGTATATGTCTAACTATTATAGTTATGCCACAATAAATATTATTTTACTTTAAAATTTTGATTGAAATGCCGCCCCTAGAAAAGGCTCTTTATTTGTATCTTGGTATTAATTCTTATAAAAATAAATTACTTTATATTTAAGACTGTTTCAATATCTTTATATAACTTTTTGAATGATTAAATTCGGACATTCCATTCGAAAGATATCACAAGTTTAAAAATGTTAGTATATTGTAATTTAACTATCCAGAGCTTAGTGACTGACTTAGTAGTTCTTATCATTTTTGTAAATAATATAAATTAATTATATATTATTAATTATAATATATATTAATTATTATATTATTAAAATATTATTATTTATTAACATAAATATAAATATCAAAGAAAAAAATACTGCATAATTAAATAATTATAATCGCATAAGTTGATAAAAGATGCTATGCTATAGCTTTACCCCAGCTGAGCCGAGTGCGACAGGTTTTTTTTTATAAAAATGTTTTTTTAATTTTTACTAGTTTGTTTCCTTCGTTTTATTATTTCATTTTTAGTTTCTAGATACTAGCCCGGCTTCGTACGCCATTCTATTTCCAATTCATTTACAGAAAATTTTTTTTTTTAACATTTAGCATGAATATTATTGAATCAGCAAAATGCATTCAGAATACCATACAAAGTATTTTACTCAATTCGTTAGCGGGTTTTACCTAATTATCTGCCTACATAGCTACCTTCCTACGTACCCTACCATTACCTACCTATCAAGCTATCTACCTACCGCACGCATAATCAAACATGTATAAAATAAGCTTCGTTTACTTCATAAAAATTAATTAAAACATAAAATTAAATTATATACATAATTAATTAAAACGCAAATTATCAACAGCTACGAGCTTTTAAATGAAATTTAATAAATTATACCTAAATATATAAAAAAATATTCAGTTTAAAAACTTGTTGAAAACAAATTTAACGTAAGCTTAAAAAATAAATGACTTCAAATTAAATAAAAGTATCAAGTTGCGTCAGTTACATAAAGTTTCGCTGCTTCGCGCTTGTCGCTGTGTGCGTGAGCCGTGCACGTGTAGTAGTACGCCTCTGTACCTAAAATTGAAGCGCGTGAATTCGTAAACGCGTCCTTAAGGAAATAAATTAAAAGTGCTTGGCCCGATGGATGAAATGGCGTTGTTGTTAGCCCAATTGCTACTTCGTTCGATGCCCATATGAGACAAATATATATATGAAAAATCACGAGCCATGATAATGATGGTATCAAGTAAAAACCGGCCAATTGTGAGTCGAACTCGCGCACGAAGGGTTCCATACCATCTAATATACAGGGTGTCGTTACCACCGCGACAATAAATGAACACACATATAGAGGATAACTTTTTAAAATTGTATTAAACATTTAATTCTTTAAACATCAATATTTACCGAGTTATTAAATTTTCCAAAACAAACAATTTTAGAACATCCTTACGTATAAAACTATAACGTAAAGTTCATTTGTAAAGGTCAAAAAGCTCATATGCTTGGGTTGAATGAATTTAAAAGAGACAAGACATAGTGTTAGAAGGAGAGGCTTGTAACGCTACGCTGTGGCGCGAGTTGTATAGGATGTTACAAATTTTGTTTCTTTTTTACTTAATTAGTTTGTTTGAAAAATATTTTTTTTAATTATGGATTTTGTTTAACGTTAATATTTTTTATGATTATTGGCAAGTACCGTTAGACGTGTGTTCATTTATTGGCGCGATGGTAACGACACGCTGTATAAAACTCTCGCGTCACGGTGTTTGTAATTGAACTCCTCCGAAACGGCTCGACCGATATTCGTGAAATTTTGTGTGGATATCGGCCAGGGTGGATAATCGGACAACATCTATTTTTCATCACCCTAAATGTTAAGGGTGGTCCACCCCTAATATTTTTTTTATCCTACGATTAATTTATATGGCAAAACAACGTTTGCCGGTCAGCCAGTTATCTGGACAAAGGATGACCATATGTGGTAGAGCCACGAATAGGCAGGTCCGTTCGGGGGAGTACCACGACCTCACAGGAGACCGGCGTGATGTGGAAGAGTTATACTTCTGCGTTTCGTCTGGTGAGTGAGGTAGCCGGGGCACACTATACAAAAAGGCCGCAACGCATCTGCAACCCTATGGATGCTGCAAATGTCAATGGGCTGCAGTTATCACTTAGCATCAGCTGAACCGACAGCTCGTTTGCCACCATCTCACATTAAAAATAACATGACTTCTTAGATATATTTAATTATTTATTAATGTACATTATCAACGAAAGTATACGGTTATTAATAGCATATAAGTGTGTGTGCGCGTTTCAAAACTGCAATTGCATTAGTTTGCAACAGATGAATATCAAATACGCAAAACCATAAAGTATTGTTATAATTGTTTACTTGTCTACAATACCTGATGACGGAATTAGGTCATCGGGTATTATAATTAGCGTAACGTATTACCACAAACAAGAGATTATTATATAATGTTCACTTCCATCATGCAGAGGTACAGTAATGACGTAATGCCTTGTTATTATATTATAGTCCTAAGTAACACCAACACTTTTTGTTACACTCAAATTATTACAGTATCAGCTTCCTAATACCGGTTTTATGCCATACTTTGGCATAAAACCGGTATTAGGAAGCTGGTGGTGGCCATATCGATCGAATACAGACCGGGGTAACAATCATTTATATCATGTATCAATTACTTGCCATCATGTTTTCGAGTAGTAAGATCCAAGGATGGCTTGTTTTACTGCCTCTACCAATAAGTCAGACTTTGTGCAAAGTTATTTTTTGACGCATAAGGTTTAGATAGATAAAACAACAGTTGTTACTAATAAACAATAAATAGTTACTTATAAATACACGGTGCGTTTTTGAGGTTCCTCGTATAGCCTCCCGTTTTACCCAAAGGGTAAAAGACTCCGCTCTCTGTCTGTCCCGTGATAGTTAGTCAGTTGAAATTTTCACAGATGACAGATTTCTGTTGACGCCTTAACAACAAATACCAAAAATCGGTAAAAAAATATTTAAGTGGGGCCCATACAACAGACATGACTTTTGCCGTTTTTGGAGATTACTTACGTTTATAGCACGGAACGCTTCGTGCTCGAGTACGACTCGCGCTTGGCCCGTTTTCTTTTTATCTATCTTTGTCGATTTATTTGTTACATAAAAATAGTAAAATTCTAGTTGTTACACTCATGAGTCCACGGATCTGCCTTTTCGGATCTCTCGCATGTAAATATAGCCGTCTCATTCGCACGGCTACGGTAGGATTGTACCATACTAAACTCAGAAGGTTTCACGGTGGTAGGGCCACGCAGCAGCATCGGCTGTTGCACGAATGGGCAGGCTCGTCCGGGTAAGTCACGACCTCACAGAAGACCGGCGTAAAGTGGAAGTATAATACTTTCGCGTTTCGTCTGGTGAGTGAGGTGGCCGGAGTCCAAATTTCAAAAGGTTGTCAACGCATCTGTAACCCTCGGGTGTAGCAGATGTCCAAGGGCGGCGGCATTCACTTAACCTCAGGTGAACCGTCAGCTCGCGTGGCAACTTTTCAAATAAAAAAAAGAAGAAGAATACTCACCGCTGCTAGATTTGATGACGCTGTTCCTGTAGTCCTTGTCGTATTTGGCTTCGCCCCTGTGCCTGAAGCAGTCCAAATCCGAGCCCTGGGCGCCCTGGAAGTTCGTGCGGAAGAAGTTGTCCGAGGAGGCCACTATCTGGGCCGCGGACCCTGCCACCAGGCACTCCCGCTCCTCATCCTTGCACTTGAAGTTGCCCATCAGCTTGCCGATGAAGCCGGTAGGCGAGGTGACCGCCACCTCCCTGCCCTGGGGCTCCTTGTACGTTCCCTTCAGCACGTCGTGAGACCTCAGCGCGTTCTTGAGCTCGTTCACCACCTTCGAGTGGGACAGCGCGAGCTCGGTGAGCACGGGCGGCGGTGAGGTGCACTTGGTGTGCCTCTGGCCTCTGTGCTCGCTCAGAACGCACAGGTTCAGCTGGCTGTCGGTCTGGTAGAGGAACGGGGCCGAGTGCTCGTCCCTGTAGGAGCCGCCCTCGTCCCTGATCATCCTCAGGCCGTGCTCCCGGCTGAAGAACGACATAAGGTCGTCCTTGCGGACGCGCGGCTCGTCCAGATCGAAGTCCAGCGAGTCCAGAAGGGTGTACTGGATGGCGATCTCCGGTTTGATTATGGACTCGTTCAGTATTTCCGCCTGGAATTCAGTTTCTTTAAGTGAGACGGTGGCAAGCGAGCTGGCGGTCCACTTGATGTTAAGTTAAGGGTTGCGGATGCGTTGCCACCTTTAAATAAAGTCTGCCCCGGCTACCACACCCATCAGACGAAACGCAAAAGTATAACACTTCCACATCACGCCAGTTGAGAGAGTTCCCCAGACGGGCCTGCCTATTAGTGCAACGGCAATTACTGTTTTCTGTCCCTGGACGTAATTATGATGGCATTTAACCATAAAAGTCTATACAATATCCATCCTTCCAATTTCCCCAGACCTGTTTATATCCTATTTCTTTTAACCCTTAACGACCCCTATGTTATCAAATTTCTAAATAAATTCCTCTGTATTAGTAATATAAAACTTTAACCATTTCTACTCTCCTAATTATTTTTTTAAGTTATATATCTCCTAAAAGATTACATACACAGGTATGTCAACCAGACAAGTATGATGTTCTAACCACCATACTAAATCCAACTCTACTTGGCAAAATTTTCACTTACTCTCTGCTTTATTCAACCTTGACATTGGCAGTGTCAGCAAACTATCCTTGATTTAGTCATTAATATTGAATTGAACAGAAAATCAGTAACTCAGAGGAGAAAAGGTATTGAACTGTCTGATTTTTATGCCTATACATAAATATAAATAAGAATATAATTGTTTGACAACCCGAATGGTGTAGTGGGTAGTGTACCTGCCTCCTGCACCAGAGGGTTTGGATTCGATCCCCACTACTGGAAAAATATTGTGTGATGAATGTGGTGTTTTTCTAGTGTCTGGGTGTTAATATATTTATAACATGTATTTATTTACAAAAGAAAAGTATGTTTCAGTATGTTTATCAGTTTTTTGTACCCATAGTACAAGCTTTGCTTAGTTTGGGACTGGAAAATGTTGTGTAATGAAAATGTGTCCTTAAAATTCCTATACCAGTCTCTATTACTAGAGTAACTGAATGAATTGAGATTTTTATATTGCTAGTTTAGATACTGCTAAACATAAATGTATTTATGCATGTAATCACATTAAAACAAGTCATAGTAGTGAAAAATTTAGTGGTCTATCTTTAAATAAAATGTTTGTGACCCTACTTCTGGCTTTTAAAGAATGTGAAAATGGCAAATCTTCTTACCAGCTATTACATCGGATTTAGCACCAGTTCTACTTATATTTTATGGATTTGATTATGTATTTCATGGCTCTGACTACTGTCTATAATACATTTTCATTCAATTGAAATAAAAAACATTGCAGGCCAAAGGAATAAGCAAGAGACAATAATATTGATTGAATTGATATACAAAAACATTACTTTTATAAATAGATCTAATTTAGATATAATAAAAATTTACCTTGATATGTCCTCTCATCAACATGTTTTTTTATAGACACACTCATACACACACACATTATTGTTATAGACACACCAACAGTATACATATTTTTACATATAAAAAAGGAACCCTACCTACTTCTCTTTTTGAAGTATATGATGATGGCGTAAACTATTGCTTGCCAGCTATAACAACAACTTTAGATATTAAGTGTCAATGTAAACATAAGAAAATGATTTGATGAATGTGCTTGGGTTATCAAACAGACTCAACATAGCAGAGGTAAAAGAGATCATGTAAGGGAATTAAAAATATATATTAAATAAGAGAGAAAAAACTAATTAAGTAATTATCTGTTGATTAAACTACTAGCACCAATTCTATTCATATTTGATTATGTATTCCATGACTTTAACACTAGTGAGGTCTATAGGGCACATTTTCTTTCAATTTCATTAAGCACATAATGTCAAAGGAATACCTAGAAGGCATTAATACTGATTGAATAGAATTACAAAAGCAATACTACAAAGATAATCTATACGCCGCATGAATAGCAAATTGAACAGTCGATAGACACTTATATAAATATTTATCTTAGTAAACGGTATAATTAAGTTCTACAAGTACAGATGATGTTATTTAGATTTTTTTTAAATTTTACCTTGATATGTCCACTCGTAAATATGACAAAATTCAAAAATTAAATGTTATTCACCTTTTCCTTGTAGGATAAAGTATCCCAAATGTTTTCATATGCATTCTTAGCTTCTGTAACATCTTCATGAATTTTTGCAGCCAACGGACTCATAGTACGAAAGTACTCTTCTGCGATGTCCCTGAGTGCCATTCTTATAAGAAATAACTGTGTGTATATTATTTATCAATCAACTAATTATAATGTTTGTCATAATTCAAATAATAATTTATCATTTAATTCATTTATATAAAAAATGTTCTGATTCTGACAACTATTTCCGTGCACGTCAAAACAATTTATGAATGATCCACAGAGTACCTACTTTTGTTTAAAGTAAAATGCTATGATCGAATATCAATCACACTTCACAGATCAATGTTGCAAAACAATAGAAATTGGCATTGGCAATCTTCATCAAGCAATGCATATCCACAGATGTTTAAATGAAAATATAATCTCTAGAAAAAAATATTATGGGTAAATAGAAGACAAACTTCAAAAATATGGAAAATAATTTATCATTTTGAAATTGACTAGTAAGGAATATATTTTAGGTAGATTAGTATCTTCAAATTCTTTTTTGAAGGTTTCATTACATTTAAACACTAAATCTAATATGAATAAATAATTTAATTGTACTAAATTAATAATTAGTTAATAAAGCCGAAAACAGTTTTTAATAGTTAATAGCCGGACGGCTCAACTTCATAGTGACTTCTATAAAATAAAGTGATAAACGAGCTGACATGATTGTCTATGCTTAAAAAAGCCATAGTTACGTTTTATCAGCTTAAAATTTTTTATTGGATGGTCCTTGAATGTCAAAATGGCTAACGCAGACAGTGTTTATACACTGACTTTACCGCGAAATGTGCAGTTAAAACTTTTTTAAAGTGTTTTCTAGTGTGTTTAACAACAATGCTGCACAACAGCGGTCCTTTTGGACCTAACGAGGTGCCGATCAACATGGGCGCGCCAGTAAACATGACCCCGATGACTGGAGCAATGAACATTGCGAATAACATTAGTAATTTGGCCAAAATCGGTCAACCACCCCCGGAGCCGTCTAACGCGCACTATCCCGTACCAAGCTATTCAACTTACGGGCATCCACATCTGAATATGAATGCAGGCATGAGTCCGTTTCATAACTATCCTTCTATTGGCTTTCAACCGAGCTATATGTCACAAAGTCCAGCGCCAGTTCACGATACAAATTGGCAAAATGGTATGTTGCCGATTAGCTTGAATATGCACAACAACGATAATACTACGATTAACTATTCCACGTCTGCAAATAAACGATCTGAAGCTTACAGTGAATATAAAGACCATCATCTAAATAGTAAAGTACCATTGAATGTGCCTCAAGTGCACACTAAAGCATTCCATAAACACCTCAGCATGGAGAACAATTACAATCATTATCCACCTTACAGCCCACATCAGAGTAGCTTTAGGCACTATGCTGACTGTAATCTAGATTTGAGCACTAAGTCAAAACTAGAAATGGACCCAAGACGCAAAAGTTTAGAAACAACTGTCAAGTTAATTGAAAATATTCTTATTAACAGCACCAGAAAGAATGATAGTCATACTAGTAAGGAAAGTATTAACAACTCTTATGTAAGTCAAAAGCAGTCAGATCCTAGAGTCCCATCATGCACAAATGATGTTGATCCCCTTAAACCTAGTACTGCTAAATTACCTGAACAAACTAAGCCATATAATCTTGACATAGACAGCAGGGATAGTGATTCTGTTGATGAAGTGAGAGCAGAGAGTGTAATGGAAGATAACAGCACCACTGAATCATTGATCCAGAAAGAAACCTTACCAGAATCTCCTAAAGAAGCAGAGACGGATAATGGTTCATCAGATTTAGAAAATGATGCCAAACCTGAAGACCTTACTGCCAATTCGGTGAAAGAAGAACCTCAGGTGAACACGGGTGTTGAAGTTAAAGTGGAGCAAACAAGCTGGGTTGACTCTGAATCATTTAACCCATTCCAAAGAGATATTAATGGCATGCCAATGGAAGATACAATCAATGCCAATGTAGTTCATGGTGATCAAAGTGTTGAAGAAGCAACAGAGAATATTAAAAATGGTAAATTTAATTCTTTTTATTTTACAGTCTTATATTTATTAGATCAAAATGGTGTAATCTGTAAAATAGTTAAATCATAAATAACTGTATTATCACTAATAACTATATTAACTTGGCTTAAATCAAGTAAAACAGATTTTACAACTGTATATTGTGGAAATAACTAAATAAATTATGACTTATGCACAGATAATACAAACATGCACATAAAATGAACATGGTATCCATGTTTAGCAACCAATGTATTGAAATTGAGTGTAAATTTGTTGTCACTTCATTTATTGTACTTTAAGTAGGATCCTTCTTTCTCTTTTAAGGCTCGCAAGAGGATAAGCATTATGAATGTCCAAATTGTAACCTGCTTTTCAACCATCCCAAGAGGTTCCTAATACACCATAAGTGGCATTCATTTGGTCTTACAACTGTCAAAAAGCTGGAGTTAGCCAGAGAGAAGGAATTGAGAAAATCTCTGCGAAGAGAAGCAAGAGTTGTTCAACGAATGAATTTACATGAGGTGAAAGATATGAGTACCGCTGGCAAGAAGTATCCCTGTAAAGACTGCGATAAAGTCTTCAGTGCACGGGGGAGTTTGAAGAACCATAGGCAAAGGTGATTATTCATAGTTAGAACAGAAATAAAATCTGTTGATGCATTCTTATAGTTAATGTATTTTGTATCAAATTTTTGAAACAATGTATTGTGCTGATTATATTTGGTTCGCAATCATGTTTAAAGGTCCGAATATTTTTAACACTTAGCTTTTATTTCGGACTAGCCAACAACGACGGGCCGCCGTTTCCACTACTCTTTTTTTTTTTTGCTGTATTTTTTTGTCTGCATCTAATTGATCTGTTCATCTTCAGTATTTATGGCTTCACCAGCAAAGATCTAATTCAAACAAAAAAGAGGCTATGATATATAGTTTGCATCTCACATCATAGTCATTCTCTAAATGGGGCAATGTAATGTTAGAGTGTACCTGCCTTCAGTTGCTGGGGAGTCGATAAATCTCTTCTTAACCACAAGATAATTTCCAATCTCAACTTTTGTTTGGTTAATTGAGCATTGAGAATTTAATTGTTGTATGAATGGGCTGGCGCGCCGGGGAAGTACTACGACCTCATAGAAGACTGGCGTGAAGTATTGAACTTTCGCTTTTCGTCAGTGAGTGACATAAACGTTGCCCACGTTTTTGAAATGCAGTCAACTCATTTACAATCACTCGGGTGTTACATATTTACATAGGCAGCGGTATTCATTTACATCAGGTGAACGGACTGCTCACTAAACAACTTACCACAACATATCGAATGTAATAAAATGTCTGAATCAAACTTGCAATTGTCTGGCTAAATTGTACATTTAAAAATTTACACCGCAGATACCATCCTACACGAGTGAGAGACTGCAAAATCTGTGGAAAGGTTGTCCTGGGTTGGATAGCGCTCCGGGCGCACGTGGCCACGCACACCACGGATTCCGGCTATCAGTGCAGTGACTGCCCGAAACGGTTCAAATACTCGCACTCATTGGCGAAGCACCGCGACACACATTTAGTAAGTTAATTTGCAATGTGAATGCCAGCTGCTATCGAAATCCCTCTGTAAAAGAATATTTAAATGTTTGAACGCGAAATAACTGAGAAAATTAAGTCTTGGTAATTTTTACTTTGACTATCATATTAAAAGCATTTTAGACTATAAAGCATTTACATTTTTCTTATGTGAGAAGGTGGCAAGTGAGCTGGCCTGTTCACTTGAAAGTGATTATCGCCGCCCATGGACATTTGCAACACCCATAGGGTTGCAGATGTGTTGCCAACTTTTAAAAAACTTACACAAAACGAAATGCAGAAGTATAATATTTGTACTTCAGTTTTGTACGTGAGTTTGTGGTATTTCATTGCCCATTCATGGTACAGCTTAGCTTATGTCCTAAGTTACAATATATAAAGTACACTCAATCCAACTTTTTACTCGGTTTCATAAAAGCGTAACCTTCCTGCGAACTCTTTTTACATTCAAATATTCCATATTTTAAATGACAATTATCAAACTTTGGACATGCTATGGCAAAATCCTTTGCACCAAAACAGCCTTTGAAAGATGTTCTCAATGTCCACATTTGGATGTCACAACTCTTTTCAGGAGAAAACTCACGGGTGTGAGCAGTGCCCAAAGATGTTCGGCTCGGCTAAACTGTTGAAAATGCACATGAAAACGCACGAGCGCGTCCTACGTGGAACCACCTTCCACTGTACCTACTGCGGGAAAGGATTCTTCGAGGCATACAGCTTGCAGGTTGTTGAGTCTAAAATATTGCTATTATTTTAAAGAATTACAAATGTAAAAATATTTTATTTAAATTTTATCACTATATAGTGATAAAAGTCGTTCTGGTGCCTGTCTGTCCATATATATCCTTAGATCTTTAAAACAAAGCAACGGATCTTGTTCACCTAAATGTTATTATATCCTCTTCAGGTCCACGAGCGTACGCACAGGAACGAGCGGCCTTTCCTATGCGAGATCTGCAACACCAGCTTCGGAACAAACTCCAGCCTCAAGAGGCATTTGAAAGTGGTTAGTACAACATGTTCTATGCCTCGCATATATTCCAATCTGAAATATTTTAAATGCACCATATACATAGACTGCATAGACATGTACATAGACCTAACTAAATTCTTATATTATAAATATTTTATAGATATACTTTATCATAAACTATACTCTGACCTCTGGCCAAGGTAGAACAACCCTTAACATTTGTTTATAACTTGGACAGTCACACAGCACTTCGAAGCCGTTCGAATGCCCCACCTGCCACCGGTCATTCGTGTCGGAGGTGATCAGGGAGCGACACGAACAGCGCGTGCACGGAGACCCAGACAGCTTCAAGTTCCCTTGCAACCAGTGCCCATGCAGGTGAGATCTTGGAGCTCGGACACAGCAGACCTTTGGCAGCGGCTATATATTTCTCCCTAATGACTGAAAGAGGTACACCAGCCTAATAGAAAGCCCACATGCAGTTATAATATTTCAATCACAAAGTCAACTCTCATTTCTCAAATGCTCATTGTAACAAAATGACCAGAACATGTGGTTATTCGCGCGATTTTGATTTCTAATGTGTCATCTTAAGTATGGAGTACCATAAAAGATAAATAAATAGCAAAACGTTATTACTGTAAAGGAGGACATTACAGTTATCTACTACTGCAAAGCATTGCTGCAAATGCAATAAAAAACAAAGTAGTAAAGGATTGCGGCCGCATAGTTTAGTGGCTAGAGCGTTTCGACGCCTTATCCAGATGGTGCAGGTTCGAATCCTGATAGCGGCATAATTTTACGAAACTTTCGTCTGCATATTTTTAAACCTATTCATAATTTTTTGAATGGTCTTGTAAGGGAAGTAACAGGAAATCCACCCTCCTTAATGTTGACACAGATACGATGCCACTGGGTTTTCCGATATACAACCACCATGTATATCTTTGGTGTGAAAAACTTGCTTGTTTGACATCTAACTCATTTGAACCAACACCAATATATTATATATTTCCAGATATCTGAAAGCTAAGGACCTAAGAAAGCACATGTACAAAGCTCATCCAAAGGGCAAACGAAAGAAGAAAGTGCAGAGTGACAGCGAATAAACCTTATTACAATTGTATCAAGGTACAATTTCCACAGATTTACCATGGAATAACTGAATAGTCACATTTGATTTCAAGGGACCCAACAACAATTGCAACTTCACATGAAGTGAACTTCCCATATTTGGAGATAACCGGGATCACATAATATCGAGATCTAAATAACAATACGAAAATATCTAGAAAATAATTAGCTTGGGAGTTTTTAAATGTTACCTTAATGTTGTTAACATAATTAATTACATTGATGATTAATCATCAGATAATTATTGTCATTGAGAATTAACAAAATATTAATAATTATAGGATATATATTTAAACGTGAGAGCGCTAACACAAACAGAATAAATAAATTATAAACTTTTGCAATAGGGGTATTAATTCTATTTTAATATACAATAAATTAAGGACTTAAATCGGAACGTCAAATGAATCGTAAATTTATCTGACGAGTCAATTAAATTATAGCGAAATGTTAACACCGTGAAAGTTTGAATTGCATTTTTGTCACATAACGCTACTGTTTCTCAATGTCATAATACAACATAATATTTCTCACATTTCCTAAATGTACTCTTTAATTGTAAGTACTTCTATCTATATACTTTTACCAACTATGTCAGTCATGTGAAGTAACATCTGACGCCTACCTTCGATAATCATTTCAACTACCAGTTTGGTTGAAGGTGAATAGCTTAAGAGTTAGAGGTAGATTTAGTATTACATGTATATGTTCCCATCAGAATGTTAATACTCTGTCCAAGATGAGACTAAAGTTTCATTGCACACAGCCGCATAATGTGTCTATCAGAAAAATTGTGTCTTTTTCCTATAAGGACAGTCTGATCTATAAATAAGTATTTTATGGGTCCGTTTATGGGTGCATAATTTACAGTTGAAAGCTCAAAGGATTTATTTAATTCATTAAAACTGCAACAGTGCAATTCACCGCCATTTTATTAATATTTTTTGAAGCTATAATTAGAAAGCATTAAAAGAATCCACACATAGGGTCAAATTTGTTAGTTTCTCTCTTGTGTATTTTTGTTCACAAATTGTTGTTAGTGTGTTAAGTTTCCATTTAAAGTAGGCGGAGATAAGCTAAATTGTCACTTTATATATGGTAAATTGTGCTGTTGTAGAAGTTATTTCTATGTATATTTATTTTATTTACAAGTACTCATGACTTAGTTGGGTGTATGAGATTTGAAAAGCTAGGTAAAGGTGAGAAAATTATATCTTTCGACTTTGATTGACAAAGACGAGTGGAGATTGTTATGTATCATTAAGCATTATGGTGTTCTTGAATTCAGATTATTTCTTTTATTTGATGATTTGATGTTAATATAGACATCATTGGTATTAATGGTTTTAGTATATAACATCATGTACACATCCAGAATGTTGGTAGTGCTGTCACTGTTTTATCTTGTACAGAGTATATTTGTGAATTTTGTTTTAAGAAAGAAGACATATATGATTTGTTATATTAATAATGACCATTTATAGACGGTGTAAGGGATAGCTGAATGTAGTACAGTAAATACAGCTTGTACAGTATTAATGTGAAGGATTCTTTGAAATTTTAACATTAAAGCTATTGTATATTAGGTGGGTGGTTTATAGTTCTAGGGCACCAAGAGTGCCACACTTGTAATTTGCGATTATGGGTTAATTTTATTATCACCAGAGACAAGACAAATATAATATAGATATGAATATATTTTATTCATGTTTAAATCAATCGGCCATTATTAATTTGGAGTGCAAAGGATAAGGAGAAGTATCTTACACTAGTTTTTAAATTGAAGTGTCCAGAATGTGTACAATAAAGGTTCTATAAATAACCAGAATAACACTTTTAGTGGCATAATTAAATATACAGCGTATCTTTACAATCGCGGCAATAAATGAACACACGTCTAACGCTACTTGCCAATAATCATAAAAAAATATTAACATTAAAAAAATCCATAATAAGAAAAAATATTTTTCAAACAAACTAATTAAGTAAAAAAGAAACAAAATTTGTAACATCCTATACAACTACAACTGATTGATTCATACATTCAGACTTTTTCATTCGTTGCCACAGCGTCGCATTACAAGCCTCTCTTTCTAAAAGTATGTTTTGTCTCTTTTAAATTCATTCAACCCATTCATATGCTTTGTGACCTTTACAAATGAACTTTACGTCACACTTTTAAGTAAGGGTGTTCTAAAATTCGTTGTTTTGGAAAATTTAATAACTCTGTAAATATTGATGTTTAAAGAATGTAAATGTTTGATACAGTTTTCAAAATTTATCCTCTATATGTGTGTTCATTTATTGTCGCGATTGTAAAAACACATTGTATAATAAAGATATTAGTAGAATCATCGTCTTATAATATATATTATTATATCATTAGAATATCAATCCTTCCTCGAGCGCAAACGCGAAAGAAGGATGCTGTGCATAAATCATTCACAAAAATGTTGTCTCTGGTGATTGTTTTAAAAAGAAAATTTTGTAAAGTATCTGACTTAACTAGATAAATATTTTTTCCTTTGTATAAATACTAGTACCTATATAAAATTATACATGAAAAATCTGCCAAAACAACTTAAAGCTGTTGGAATATCTTTCTTTCCTTTCTCTAGGTTAAATGTTTAGTATATTTGTAATTTTTCTTAACATTATGAATCTAGTAATATTAAAAAAAAGTGTTTTAATGTATTTAATTAAAAAAGTTGCCACTTATACTTCCTGTTTCCTCGGCCAAATAAAATTATGTTCTAAACTTCCATAGAATGAATCTGTATATTTTTGACATATCAATATTATATAATTCCAATTTTTAATGAATAGAAAAATTTACAACGCCTTATTAATGTGCAAACTGTTTCTGGGTATGGTTAAATTTATTTTAGATATATTAAAACTATTTTTATCTAACCATATTGGAAACTTAAACAATCCCATGGAGCAGATTCCAATTATTTTGTTCTTTTATTGTTATTTTTTTATAATTTTAAGAAATAATAATCTCGAAATATTTTGAAAAGCTAAAGAATATTAAAAGGAAATAATAAAAAACCTTAGACTTTAGTATCTTCGAAATGTTATCTACATACCAATTAAGTTACTTGGGTAATATAAATCTAAAGGTAACTAAAATGTGTCTGGTTTTTAGGATCCGGTTAAAGATGTAGAATAAAAGTTAAAAATAAAAAATTGCTTAGATTACTGTCACGGGTGGAGTAGATTAAGCATGCACTTTGGTAATATATTAACTTAAATGTACCCCTAAGCTTTTTCTCAATCATCAACATGGTTAGGATTTGTAACATTTGAGGGAAATTGGTCACCAAGCGTTTTACATTTTTGTATTTTTACAATTCATATATGAGTCTTGCAGGAAGGTTAACTAGGAGGTTGAAATACAAAATAATCAAATGTCCTTGTTGTTATTTAAATGTATCAATAATATTCTTTAGCTAAACTAAGTTTTCTTTTTGTGGACTTTATCTTATATTAAAGTGCGTCAAAAAAAGGTAAAATCTTCAATATTTTACTTCGACTTTATCTTATCAACTTATATAATATCAAAGTATATATAAGCGACCCACAGTCGTTCAACGGTATTTTTTCTTTCACACTAAGTATTTGCATATTGTTAAGTGGCTTTCACCATGGTTTCCGCTATTAAAATTATCTTTTTATATGTAATTTGTTATCGTAATGTAACCAAAACTTAAGTGTCCCTTTATATTTTGTTGTTACTTGACATATTTCATTGACAAGAGTGTAAATATTCTGCAAACTTTATTGTATATTAAATAAATTTGATTAGTAAATTGTTTTTTTTTTTTCTCTACGAATCATTTGAGAGTTGGTAATACTAGACTAGTAGACGACGTGGCGCTTAACGAAAAATGTTCGTCGTTGCTAGGATCGAACCGGCATCTGGGTCAGCATTTTTTTGGTTACTGGGGGAAATGCCTACACATACCCGCCCTCGCGGGGGCGAGAGCAGGTTATGTCGGACTCGCACCGACTAAAACCCCCACGATATTCCGTCTAGGCGCATATCGGCAGGGTCACGGGAACGCTTTCGCACACTTCCGCGACCCTGCCAGCGCTGGCCGCCTCAGCAGGCCCCTCCCGGGGAGCAACCCCCTCCTCCAGGCAAGGCGCGCTGGAATATTCAGTACGCCTTCCTACTCGGCCCCATTTTCACGGCCAACGAACTCCCCCGAGTTCGCTGACCGGGGCCATGGGAGCCAGGAGAGCCCGTGCCAAAAAGCAGCAAGTCTCCCAGCCCCCAGCGTCGGACCTGGTCTGTGGATCCGCCGCTCACCACGTTTCGGCCGCGGAGGGTAGGCACTGCAATACCGACACTCCTCTCCGAAAATTGAAGTGTCACCTTTGCTATTGAATTTTAGGATTAATTTCTTATTAGAGACCAACTTTAAATTGATTTAAGAGCTAATTTGTTATTAGCTAAATGTATAGGCACATCGGTTAAAAAAAAATAAAAGAAGTGCTCAACATGACGCGTTTTTTTTTATTTGAAATAAAGTAGGCCAACATTATCCTGTAACGTAGAGAGTTTGTGAGTAACTAAATAAATAATGATTTTAAGAAACTTGTATCAGCCTTCGAAGAGATTTGTCATCCCAGCAGCAGAAGAAAACATCGATACAAGAGAAGCAGGTCCTTACCTTATTTACCAGTTTTGTGACACTCGTTTTTTTTGTGTGAAGTTTTAAATTTTACCAGACACAAAATTATATAAGTACAAACAAATGGGCAATGGCTGGAAGTGTCATAAAGATCGAAGCCTTGATTCTTTTACAATTGATATCCATACTAACATTATAAATCTAGGATATACCAGGAATGTGATATGTACAGAGTGGCTTTAATAAAGCTGCCCAAATTCACACAGGAGGCTCAGACTCGGTAGTATAACCGTTTATTGAAATAAAAACCAACTTTTGCTAAAAAAAATTGCCATTCTATTCTTTAAAAAACAGAACTTGTTGACACTGCGGTAGTCATTCGTTAATGCGTCGTATACTTTTGAAACGAAATTGTGTGCGTGTTAGTTATGAATGATCGCGCGTAAAATAAATGAGTTGCCCATAAATCACGCACTTTTTGAAATAAGTTCAAATAAATGTAATTAATTAATTAAGAGTGACTATAAATATTTATCATTTTTATATAACATTATTTATATCTAGAATTTAATACAAAAAATGGATACACTTAGAAAAGCCTCCCTGTATGATAGAAAACGTATTGTTAATTATATGGCAACGCGAGCAAAGCCGCGGGTAACAGCTAGTAATAAAAAAAAAACTTTTTTAAACATCATAAAAAATTGTCTGATTGATATTCCGGCACATACATCATATTAACTATGACTACTTTGTTAGTCTCTAGCTATTTTGTAAAAGTAAAGCAACTGTGGTACGGCAACGAAACACTGTTGCACTAATGGGCAAGCACCACAATATCACAGAAGACCAACGTGAAATGTAGATGTATACTTCTGCGTTTCGTCTGGTTAGTAAGGTAGCCGAGGCACACTTATTTAAAAGGTTTGCAACCGTACGGGTGCTGCAAATGTCAATGGGCGGCAGTTACCAGTTCACATCAATACCGCCTGCTTCCTTGCCACCTTCTCACATAAAAAAAAGTTGACAAACATTTTGGAGACAGTGACTAGTTTAGTCTACTATACACCATATCATCTCTTTATTTATGTGTTACATCAGTCTGATAATTTATATAGAAATGTTCATTACACTATTTTATAATTTTTTTAAATATTCTAGATGTGATATGACAGCCTTGTGGAACCACCCATTCCTCTCTAATAAAGGATAGAAACAATGAGATACAAGGTTTTTTGTTACAAATTGTCTTATTTAGTAAACTTATGACATTAAAATTAACAAAATGAATATCATAACAAAACTACACTTGAATGTGCTTCTTCCGGTTGTTTTATTTTAAGAACAACCATTTCTAATAGTTTCTTCAATGATGCTAAATAGATTTTGAAAACAGTAAATACTAAGTTACCAAAGTAATACTTGTAAAGTTGAAAGCAAAAAAACAATAGTATTGTTAAAAATTTAAATGTACTTTTGTTTCCCAAAAACTTACAAGCATCCATAGACAGTTTCTGAAACATTTTCATTGTAGAAATTAACTAACAGCTGTTAAATGGCTTCTCAAATGTCATTTAAGTTGCCAAAAGGATGGTTTAACTTTCTGAATTGATCAGAAACAGAATGATCTTAATGATCAATGCAAATAGTTTAGCCATTCTTTTGGCAACTCAAATGATATTTGAAAAGCTATTTGATAGCTAATTACTGAATTCTATGATGATCAGTATTTTAGAAACCGGGCAATTGTGATCATTTTTTAAAAAAGACTAGCAATTATTTATATGACTCGTTGCAAAAGTACAGTGCTCTAAATTTATTTTTATATTACTTTAATCAGGATTACCATTTTTTTATTCTGTTTTAATTTCATTGATAATACCAAACTTGTTTGAACTGTTATCTAGCATGAAATATTACTACCACACCACCTGAATTTATTTATTCAGTTATATAAGAACATTGCACATCATATAAACTTAAATGAAAAATTAATGTGAACACAATAAATATTAATACAGTCAAATGTGCAATAAACTGTATGATTTGATTGCAACATACATTTAGTTCTGTTGTTTACACTTGATTTAATTATAAAATTATTCTCTGCAATGATAAATGTACACAATACCTTGTGAGAATGGTAATTGTTAACAACTAATGAAATAATTCGAAAGTTAAACCATCAGTTTTTACTTGTTATCAAGTGCAATGCAAATGTTAGAAAGAATATTAAGTTATTTGATAACTGTCAAATGACAGAAAAGTTGTATTTATATAGTTGAAACCAATAATAATAGATACAAATATGATGTAGAAATGACACTATTGCAGCGAAAGGCACTCAAATTACGCCAATTAGATTGTATATGCCAACTCTATAGACGGCTATCTCTTTCCATATCCTATGTACTATATTATCCGACACTTTAACATACATGTCATATAATGTAAAGTGGAACAATTTTCAAACTCCATGCCAAATGGACATGCATCATCTATATTATTATACATCATTGGTTCAAACATATTAACATTCTATTATGAGTTACTTATACTTGTTACAATAAAACCAGAAAGAAACTATTGCTTTATCACTATTTAAGTTGGTCAGGTATAGTGTCTCTATTGCTTACTAATTGATAACAAAGAACTAATATAAGTGCAATCAATTAAGTTTTAATAAAATTTCAGACGGATTTTTTTAATAGTTCACATCTAACCATAAATTAGAAAAATAAAAATCCCAAATTAAAAGTTACCAGTTGTAATAGACATATTTAAACAAGAAGCTAATGTGCTTATAACAAAATAAATTCACACTTTATTTCTATGGTCTTATTTTTACTTATGAGTGAAGGCTTGTTGTAACAGGCTTGTGGCTTGAAGGAAGGTTGTAAAGAAGATTATCTTGAAAATCTTTAGAATAGAAATCTGTTTTCAATTGCAGCTATTGGGTGTACATTAAATTTAACTCTCTATCAATCAATCAATCTTGTCAATTACCATTTCTCATTATGAAAAAAGGGCTATCACACCAAGCTGTTTTGTATTTTGAAATGCTTATGATTCTTGTGGGCAAATGTAAATAACTTAAACGTTGGCGTTATTCAATTAAAAGGAATTTTAAATGATAGAGAAAAATCCCTAATGAATTAATCAACAAGAAGAATTCGGCGGTCGCTTATAGGTTTCGAGAAAAAAATATTTCAAACTTGTTATTTTCACTAAGTTTTTTTTTTAATTTAATGAGTCACAGAACCGACACAGAGCAAATCTGATGCAGATGGATAAGGTTTGAAGGTTCGGGCTGCTTCATGGTTATTTTTTTTTTATGATCACCCACAAATATGAGTGGAATTGACAACAAATAGTGCCAGATTTCTATAGTGAAAATCACACTATTTCATTATTTATTTTTTTCTAAAACTATAAGCGACTGCCGAATTCTGATTTTTGATTAATTCATTAGTGATTTTTCTCTATTGTTTACAATTTATTTTAATTGAATTACGCCAATATTAAAGTAATTTAATTTACCTTTTTGTTCTGATTTTGTGGTTTCCATTAAACCTTTTGTTTATTAATGGTGACTATGTGAAGGTGTCCAGTTGCAACCAATGTCCAATGGCCACACCATAGTGACAAACATATTTTAAACAAGCAAATGGCCTTTCTGTTCAGTCACTCTGTCCAGCAGCTTGGCGTAGCAATACGTATATTTTCTCTTTAATCCAATCCTTGTTGTATGGAGCGTAGGTGTTCGTAGATTTCTGGTATACAAGGCAACTTAGATCCGCCAGCTGAAGTCAAAGAAAAACATGTTTTCTTATGTATATAAGCTGGTATGTATCAAAATGTTACACTTTATACGATGTCTAGAATTACATTCTAAGATATAAAGAGTAACGATGGTAATATTAAGGATTATTTAAATGAATCGTACCTGATCAACAAAGTCAAACAATTGAGAAATATCGTAAGTAATTGTAGGCGTGTTAGGGTTTCTTCTCTTCAAATGCTCTTCGTATATTTTACAGACTCCCTCCATACAATCATTGACGCTTTCATAATCTGAATAAGTTCTGGTCTCAGGCCTCGGGCCCGGCTGAACGAGTAAAATTGTATGCGACTGAAAAATAAAATATAACCTTATAGTTACCGCCATTTTTGACGCCAATAGTTTGTTTTGTAATGTAACAAGGTTTAACGACCATTTTTATGTAATATGAAGCACTTTTTAACTTCTGTTATCTTTAATAATACTATAAAATCAGTTTTGTATACTTCCAGAACTATCTTTAGAATTTTAAACTTTTAAAGTGCGAAAACTCAACTTATGAACAGTAACATGTAGAATGTAGATTAAATAAAGTACAACACGGTACTTTCAGTGCATTTCATATTTGTATGGAGCTTGCATTCCATTTAGTTCCATCCGTCAAAAACAGATGGCTTTGTTTTAAATGCAAAACCATTTTAACTATGATACCATTAAATAAAAACAAAATTTTATTTTAAGTTAAAATAAATTATTTAAAAAATATCATAATTTTTGGTTCTTATTTTGGAGATAAATGTATTTTATTACACAAAAATTATTAATTTGAAAGAAAACAACTAAGCAAAATGGTGGAAGTAATTTTAAACAGTGTAAAGGAACGTTACGGACGTAACTGCGGCATGTATGCCAACTTAGAAGTTTTCTTCCTAAATTTAGGAAGAAAAATTTACAATTGAAATTTTTAGGAATCTTTTTAGGAATAAAATTTCATTCACATTTTTGAAATAAAAATCACACAATATTAAACACAAAATATAATGTTATAGTATTGGCAGCATTGGCCTATGCAGTATTTTAAATTTTTCCGCCATAAACTCTTATTAAACACCAGAGGCGTGGACCAGAAGTGTGGTGGTGCTGTTCTTCAAGAAAGGCGATAATGCTCTCTTGAAGAACTATAGACCGATATCCCTTCTGAGCCGCGTCTATGTGCTGTTCTCAAGAGTCATCTTGAATCGTCTCGCTTCCAGACTCGACGACTTCCAGCCTCCCGAACAAGCCGGATTCCGAAAAGGCTTCAGTACCATAGACCACATACACACCTTGCGGCAGATTATACAGAAGACCGAAGCACCGAGCTCGAAGTTGTTGACGAGTACGTTCACCTAGGACAGTTAGTCTGGCTAGGTAAGTCCAACTTCGACGCAGAGGCCAATCGGCAAATTCAACTCGGATGGGCAGCGTTCGGAAAACTTCGGCAAATCTTCTCGTCGAATATACCTCAATGTTTGAAGACTAAAGTCTTCAATCAATGTTTGTTGCCAGTGATGACCTACGGAACCGAGACGTGGTCCTTCACTGCTGGCCGTATGAGGAAGCTCAAAGTCGCTCAGCGAGCTATGGAGCGGGCTATGCTCGGTATTTCTCTGCGTGATAGAGTTCGTAACGAAGACATCCGCAGTAGAACTAAGATAACCGACATAGCTCAGAGGATTAGCAAGCTGAAGTGGCGATGGGCCGGCCATATAGCTCGTAGAACCGATAACCGTTGGGGAAGAAAGATTCTTGAGTGGCAGCCTCGCACTGGCCATCGCAGTGTAGGACAACCCCCCACTAGATGGAGTGACGACCTGTGCAAATGTGCGGGAAGTCGATGGATGCAGGTGGCTCAGGATCGTGCTTCATGGCAGTCTGTGGGGGAGGCCTATGTTCAGCAGTGGACTCAAACAGGCTGAAATGATGATGATGATGATGAAACTATTATTGTGAATATACAGCTACTCATATTATATTAAATTCATTTAATAAGTAATATAAAATGCCAAATAGTGAGAAAATTGCCATCGGATATGTTCAAAAATATGCAGCTGAGTAGGAAAAAGACAATGGATTTAAAGGTTTTTATAATTGAAGGATACTTATTCCCATTATTTATCGTCTGATTCTTAAAAATAATGAAAATGATTATAATGTGTATAAAAATGTGTTTAATTCGTATAAATATTTTTCAAGTCAATGAACAATGTTCAAGGTCAAGTATGTTGATAAAGTTTTAAATAAAACAGTTTTTATTGCCCAGATAATTAAATTTTGCGATAGTTATTCTAGCTTATTAGATAATTTTTAAAAAAAGGTGACTTTTTTCATTTAGGAAGTTTTTTTTTGAAAACGATTGGAGGAAATTTACTGATTTTGGATAGCCAAAAATAACTAAACGTAAATAATTTACTAAACGGCACCAGACTCGAAATCATTGATAACAAAGATTTAAAAAAAATAGCGAGTGAATATTATAAAAAACGAAATAAAGTTCGCAAAATATATTTCTGTATTTTATTTATTTTATCCAAAAATAACATCTAGCAAGCTTGTATCCAATTACAGTTTTCTATACAATGTTATCAAATATAAATTAAATAAATTTCATATACACTATATAGAAAACTGTACTTGAATACAGCTCTCAACTGTAAAAACAAAATGGTTATTTAGTCTTTGTTATGTACATCTGAGCTTGTAGTTCGGTCCCGCATCAAGAGATGGCGCTGTCTCAAGATGAGACTGATGGCTCTATATTAGTAATGTACTCTTTGCCAACTGTCAAGTTTTTTAAGCATAGTAGGGATGTTGATTTTTTGAAAATGAAATAATAAGTAGAATAATAGTAAATCGATTTCCCGAAATTTTTTCTCATTTTATCCGATGGTTTTAAGACCAAATGAAGAAATTGTAGAAAAAGTAAAAATATTTTATTTCTTTTAAATTGAAAAATCGTTAATAAATTATAGTTAAGAATTTTAATTGTAATGAAGCAACAGTCTAAATAAATACAGAAAACTTTACTGTTTAGTTCCCTATAACTGTTGCATGAACAATGCACATGATTTATTTGATGGCAATTGCGTGAACGGCTTTATACATAAATTGTTTATTCGCGAATAATCATAATTATTTGCTCATAGATAAGACATATAATTATACTGAAACTTGCTCCCTATACAGGGAGATTTTTTGAGAAGTGCTCAAATTTACACAAGAGGTTCAGACTCGGTAGTATAATCGTTTATTGAAATAAAAAACAAAGTTTTTTTTCCAAAAAATGCCATTCTATTCCAGAACAGAACGCGTTGACAATGCGGTAGTCATTCATAAATACCTAAATTTTACTGTGCACGGACTTGTGTGAGCGTTAGTTATGAATGATCGCGCGTAAAATAAATGAGTTTCACAAAATAATCACGCACTTTTTGAGATAAGTTCAAATGAATGTAATTAATTACTTACGAGTGACTTTAAATATTTATCATTTTTCGTACATTATTTATGTCTAGAATTTTATTTAAAAAAATGGATACACTTAGAAAAGCCACCCTGTATATAAAAATATTTATATTGTACTTGCTCCCGATTCTATTCCGAGTTATTTGTGTCGTCAATGAACTTATTTATATGTTTTGAATTGATGCCATGGTGATAAATTATATTCTTTTATTAATTACGATTACGAATAACAATTAAATTGTCTTACTTTAAATGGGTACCGCATCTCAATTTTATGAAAACATGAATTGCTTGTCATTAACTCGTTAATCCACTAGTTAATCATTAAGTTATTTTCTAGTTCTTGCATTAAAAATTATTTACAAGATTAAATCTATCTCAAATTACATATTATCTAATAATATAATATCATCCACGCGGAATTGTGCCAAGAACGCTAGCTACATTTTTTCACTTAATTATGCTTAGCATTTGAGAGAGAATAGAACCAGCTCTCTTGACACCAGCCGCGGCGTTAAGCCTAGGACATAAACCTTAAAAAAAATTGATGTGCATCAAATTGTAAAATTTACGAAACCATGCCTTTTTAATAAGTTTAAAGTATAATTAATTATAATAAAGATACTAAATTAAAAAAAGTCTTTGTATGGTGGTTTGAAAAAGTAAATCAATTTTATAAACTGATAAAGTAAATCAATTTTATAAACTGATAAAGTAAATCGATTCTTCCATCTAATTAATTAAACAAACTCAGTCCGTCCGCCACAATCCGCCACATGCCTACTTACTTTCCTTAAAACTTCAAAATTCTGGTTTACTATTATTTATTTTATTATTATTTTATGTAGTGTCGTGTTATTGTTTTCTGAAATGGAACAGAATATTGAGAGTTTTAGTAGCTTTGAAACTGCACTAGAGCGACGAAAATTAAGGAAATGCTTACCAATTTACGACAAAACTTCTGATTCTACTACAGTTAAATCTATTGAACGTCAATATACTTCTAAAGATGTTTTATTAAATATCGCTAAGCAATTGGATCATCTGAAGGCTGCTGATGATTTTAAGAAAGATTTAAATAAACTAAACAAATTTAAAAGTTATGAGAAATCTAAATTGGTGCCCGTAAATTTAATGTCAGTAGGAACTAATGTAAGTATTTACCGTAAATTTAGTTCATGATACTTATATTAAACTTTATTTACGTTTGATTAGTCGATAGTTTTTATCTCGTATTGTTTTTTTTTTTTTTGTAATTTAAGTTGAAAGACATTGGGCACTGTAACCTGTACAACCTATCTTGTAACTACCTCAAATTCCTGCATCACAATACACATTTTATCTTGTCATCTGGAGTTGCATATTTAAATTATAATATATCAGGTCTAATTCTTTAAAGACTGACCTGTTTCAATAAATCTTCAGCTGGCTGCTTACTTGCCATCTACAGACATACAAAATTAATTCTATATATTGCCGAAAATAGACAAAATTGATGAAAATTAAAATTTATAACATTGGAAAAGTTTTAAATATTTTTATTACATATTATTCTTAGATTATAATGTATTAAATAGTGTTAAATAAATTATTTTGTTTTCTTTACTATTTTAATGTTAATATGATAATGTTGAAAATGACTAACTTTATTTCAAATGGGAATTATAATGTTTACATTTTAAATAAAGTGATGACAGTCTATTAATTTCATTTTGCAGCTATCTAAGCTAAATACCAATATTACCCAGTTTGGAACACAGTGTGTGTCTGATACACAGTTGATAAGCATTGTAGAAAATGTTGAAAAAATAGTACCACCGAAAGGTATGTCACAAGAATTTGAGAATTCATTCTGTGAAAGGCATATTGGTCTTGAAAAGGATGGATATACAAAAACTGATAACATGAGGAATAGTTTTAATAATGAAAATGTAGCATTTGATCCAGACTTTCAAATTAAAAATAATCGTAAAATGTGTACTAAGTCAGACATAAATAAAAATGGTTTTGATGAAGACATTATGCATAATTTAAAGAAAGAACTAAATTGCAATGAGCATGAAAAAATAAAAGAATGTGATGGAGTTGAAATTAAAGAAAATTTTATTGTTAGTCCCATTATTAATTATATCAAACCTTTAAGTCTTACAGACAGTCAATCTCCATTAGTTTACAAATTAGATGCATTTGAAAATTTCGAAATGTTAGCTTTTCCCATAGTCGAAAAGAATGTTGATTTGGAAGCTGCAAAACAGCTTATTAACTCGCAAATCCTTGATAAGGAACTGTATCTTGCTGAATGTACAACATCTATTCATAACAGAATAGATAGACCACCCAGTCCTGTACTACCTATAGGACGAAAGACAAATTCATCTTCCTGTCCAGTTGTTGACAAAATAAAAAATGTGTCTTTAAAAGTTCCCGATAAGAACATAGATAAAAAAGTATCCCAACAAACTAATATTGATGTTGACAAATACTTTGAAGATGAGATATTATTTAGTAGTGATGAAGAAGACGGAAATGAAGTAAATTCTCAAGATTTACCACTAACATGTGCTTTAGAAACATCTTTCTATAATCAATGTGGCATTCTAGACAAAACTATGTATGTTGGTTTTCAAACGGCTAGTAATAAATCCATAAAAATAAGTACAGAATCTTTTTCAAAAGCACAAAGTGTTTTAGAGGATATAGACAGTTTCAAACCAACATTAACAGAACTAGTAGCCAAGTGTGAAGGCAAAATTAATGAACAATATAGTGATCTTAGTAAAACAGATGATCAGATAGGATTAAGTAAAAGTAATGAGATATCAAAAGAAGAAAGCTGTTGCAAAAGTCCGGCTATTATTAAATGCCTAAAATCTTTAACAGAGACTCAATCCATTATGGAAGAAATAAATAGAAGTAAGAAATCTAATGAAGATAGCAATGCTAATAACAGAAATCCGGAAGGGGTAACCAATCTGAATGAAGATGGTGTATGTAAATTTCCTAAAAGTTCTAGAATATTAGGAAAAAAACAATATGCAGAGTTTCACACGGCAAGTAATAAAAGAATTAAGCTTTCTGAAACATCTTTAGCAAAATGCCAAAAAAATTTTAACAATATTGATCTAGATGAAAAATATAATGAAACAATAACTGAAGATATTAAAAACGGTTTGCAAGCGAATAGCTTCGGCATTAGACAAGTTCAAGATGATTCTGAAAGACATAGCACAGGCGACAACCCAAGCATTGCTGCATCCAAGCAATGTAATACTTTAAATAAAAGTAATAAGAAGGAGATATCAGACCAAATTAAATTAGAAGATCAGAATATCATAAAGGAATTTGAAAATGATTTGATAGATTTTGATATCTATAGAATTGATAGTGCAATAAACTTTAAAAGCAATGAAAACAAGCGTCAGTCGAAATATGATGCAAATCCAGTTGATGAAAAGTTTTTCCCAAATCAGCATTTGGACAAGTATGTAAAAAAAACATTTACTGGCTTTAATACTGCAAGCAATAAACAAATAACCATATCAGAAAATGCACTTAGGAAATCAAAAAGCATATTGAATGATTTTAATTTGTCTGATTATGTTGAAGGTGAGGAGGATTTAGATAATTTGTTCAAACATGGTATAGATAAGAATAGCGATCAAAATGTGAGTGAACTTAAGGTTTTATGTAATCATAAAGATGAAATTTCTGCACAAAATGAACTTCGTTCATGTGATGCATTACACATTAATGATAAAATTGAAAAAACGGAAACTTTGGCATTATTTAAAACAGCAAGTGAGAAGCCAGTTACTATATCAACAGAAGCTTTAGTCAAGAGTAGAAAATTATTTAAAGAAATGGAAAGCTTTGTTTTAGACGAGGCAAAAGATTTAAGTGACCATGCAGTGAAAAAATTTCAGGGACTTAAAACCACTTGTAATAAAATAGTCCCAGCACCTGATTCAGCTTTAGGTAATACGAAAAATTTTGTTGAAGACATTCATTCTCATAATGATAAGAGTAATGAAAATAAAACTTTACATAGTGTTTATGAAAAACTACCTCTGTCATCAGAAAATGTTGTGAACATTAGTGAGAAGAATACATATTTGCCTAAGTTTGAAGGTTTTCGTACTGCCAGCAATAAAAAAGTGAACATATCTGACCAGGCTATGGCAAAAAGTAAAATAATGTTTCAAGATTTAGAGTTACACAACAATGAACAGTCTCAATTTCAACATTTTCCTGTCAACGAATTCAAAGGTTTTGAGACAGCTAGTAATAAACAAATAAAGGTGTCGAATGAATCTTTAGCTAAAAGTAAATCTCTATTTCAAGATTTTGGTCTGGATGGTAAACATGAAGAAAAAAGTATTAATAACCAAGAAACAGACAGTAGTACAACAACTTTTATTAATGAAGGAAACTTGTGTTCTAAATTGGAAAGTCCCCGAAACCATAGTTTTATCGGTTTCCAAACAGCTAGCAATAAAAAGGTAAAAGTTTCAGATCAGGCGTTGGCTTTAAGTAAGAAATTGTTGCAAGATTTAGAGCTTGATGAAACTATGAAACGTAGCAACATTGTTAAATGTATGACAAATACAGAGGCTTATAAGAGGGGTCATGAGTGTCAAAGTGTTAAAAATCAGACTCATAATGTGTTATTTAAAACTGCAAATAATAAAGATGTCAAAATTACTCAAGAAGCTTTGATCAAGGCCAAACATATCTTAGAATTAAGTGAAAATGATGAAGTAATTAAAGCATCACACACAGTTTCTGGAAATAGAGGAATTAATGGTAATCAAAAAAATAATACAGAAAGTTTACTTGATAGTGAAATAATAAGTAATTTCGAAATGACTATGTGCACAGAAGATTTTTGTAACGATATTAAGCCTGCTAAATCTAAGAGATCTGGAAGTCCCATTCTTTTATGCACTCGCGCTAAAAAACGCAAAAGATTCGAAGCACCACGCAAAAATTTAACAATATCAGAAGATAGAGAGATTACACACGAGCAAAACATTACAGTTGAATCATTTATTTATGATGAAAATTACAAGAAGACTAAAAACTATACATTGAAAGACTTAAAAAATATGGAGAAACGTAACCAAGGTCGAAATGAAGTAGATCCGTACATAGTCAATTTCAATTACGAAACTTTTTTAGATTTCGAATTTAGTAAGGATAGAAATGAATTTTCTGAAGTCGCGTGGACAATAGAGGACTTAAAGAAATATTTTTTATCTTCAATCAACAAGAAATTAATACCCGATGGTTGGCTAGACAATCATTTGAAGTTGCTAATTTTAAAATTGATCACATACGAAAAAGAATTCAAAAATGTTATGCCGGGAGTGTGCTCCGCGAAAAATGTGTTAAAACAGTTAAAATATCGATATGACAGAGAGTTGCACAACGTCGAGAGGCCTGCTCTAAGAAAGTTACTAGAGAAGGATGATGTTTCCACGAAAACAATGATTTTACGCGTTATACAAATTTACACGGATGCTGTCCCTATGACTAGGTCCGTATACTAATAAATAATAATTAATAAATAAAACGTTTTATCGCTGTTAGATCTAAAATTTGGGGAAAAATTACCTTTATTTATGTGCTTTGTGTGCAAAGGCCATAGACTATATAAAGCTTCATCGGGCGCAGAGCTAGCAGAGGGATAGGCTAATTTTTCATCAACTTGTTAGATGACCTATGCGGACTCACGCATAAGAAAAAACGCAGACGTTCGCTAACAAAACTGCTAGCGGGCTTCCAAGTAGTGAGAGGATATCGATGGCTTTTACTGTGTTATTTACCTATGCAGACTCACGCGTAAGAAGAAACGCAGAAGTTCGCTAACAAAACTAGTAGCGGGCAAGGTCGTGACAGGATATGGATGGCCATTACTGTATTATTTACGTGCTGAGGGTCCACGGGACTCGGGCGTACCTTGCTTTCGCATTCGGTGTGTTGATTTCGCACTCGTAGTTACGCCAATAATATGATGTAAGTTAACGCTTCATTAGAGTTGTCGGGTTGGGGATACCCGGTAGGGCCGGAATGCATTTGCCCCCGCGACCACCTCGATGAGTAAGGTACGCGCATCATCTTTCCAAAATGTTCCGTGAGGGTACCGTAATTGGCTTGGTTCACCACCAGATGATTGGCTGATTTTAGACGCTTTTACGAACTGTTTTTTTTATATCTCAAGGGATCGCGCGATGTCATGAATGCAATCGCTGTTCATCGACGTTTCTTTGATGCCATCTTGCGACGGCTGCATTGCGACTGAAAGTATTTTTGTGTTTGAATAACATCCATATAATTGGAGTTATGTAGTATAGTTATGGGTCTTATAAAGGCTCGGCATAGTAATTGTAATTTGTAACTTGATAGAGTATCTCCGGTCCGAAATCATCTAATATTATCTGTTTTATTAATACCACTGATTGTAGTCAATACCTCGAACTCTCGCTAAACTTTAGTCATTGTCTACCAACAGTTCCTTAATGATTTTACAATTTTCTAAGATATATTGTATTTTTCTTCACAGTGTGACTGAAACGAGTGACGTTGAATTGCTTTTGACGGACGGTTGGTACTGCGTCAAAGCGTGTTTGGACCAGATGCTGGTGAAACTCGTCCGTAACCAGAAAATTACCGTTGGTACCAAACTCGCCATACACGGCGCAGAACTGTTAAACTGCGATCAGGGACTAGCGCCGTGGGAGGTAATTTTCAAGAATCACGTCGTTGCGTTTCCATTTCCCCATATACCGATAATTCGGTTTCATCTTCTTCATCATTTCAGCCTGTTTGAGTCCACTTCTGACCATAGGCCTCCCCCAACAAGGTACAACCCTGAGCCACCTGCATCCATCGGCTTCCCGCACATTTGCACAGGTCGTTACTCCATCTAGTGGCGGGAGAACACCTATTTTCTTATAATTCTGTTTATATTCTCCAATATGTATTTGATTATGTATTTTTTATGGATTCCTTAGGGCCACGCAACAATTAGTTGTCGGCCACTTAGCTTAGTGGCTAGACCGTCTGGACGCGTAATCCGGAAGGCGTAGGTTGGCAACCTGGCAACGGTTAAATATTTTTCGAGTTTTTTTATTTACACATTTTTAAACAAACAAGTTAGGTTAGTTTAGGAGTTTTTTTTATGTGAAACGTGGCCAAACGAGCAGACGGTTCACCTGATGTTAATTGGATACCGCCGCCCATGGACATCTGATACACCCGAGGGTTTGCAAATGCGTTGACAACCTTTTTGGAAATTGGGCTGCGGCTACCTCACTCACCAGACGAAACGCGAAAGTATTTGTTCCACTAGCTAGAAAGTATTTGTTACACTTCCACTTAACGCCGGTCTTCTGTGAGGTCGTGGTACCTACCCGGACGAGCCTGCCCATTCGTGCAACAGCCGAGGCTGCTGCGTGACCTTACCATCGTAAAAAGTTATTTTGTGGCACACTCTAACTTCACACTGAATATGCTTTATAAATTTTTCTTTAATTTTCGTTTGTCCGACTTACACAATTTTAGTATCACTGCAGGATTGCGAAGATCATGTTGTGTTGGGGCCATACTATTAGTGTCAACAATCGAGAGCGACTCAAAATTATTTTCATTATTTAAATTTTCATATGCAACAGGACACCTCGCGCGTGCGCTTAAAAATCTTCGGCAATTCGACGCGACGCGCTCGTTGGGATGCGCGCCTCGGATGGCATGGCGCGGGCGCCATCTTAACGCGCCTGTCAAATGTCCAGCTGAATGGCGGGAAAGTATCGAAATTGCGCGCCATTGTCACACGAGTGTATCCGACGCTTTATGTCGAGAAATTCGAGGATGGGAGCACGGGTGAGGTTATTTGAGTTACGAATAGCAAACGGCCGAATGACTACTGCACATAAATTGATAAACAAAATTAACATATTTTTTTTACATATAATATGTAAAAATTGCATATACAGCGTGTCTTTACCAACGCGACAATAAATGAACACACGTCTAACGCAGAAGAAGATTTTTTTTGAAAAATATTTAAAAAAATATTTTTCAAACAAACTAATTAAGTAAAAAAGAAACAAAATTTGTAACATCCTATACAACTACAACTGACCGCATTACAAGGCTCTCCTCCTTCTAACATTATGTTTTGTCTGCTTTAAATTCATTCAATCCATTCATATGCTTTGTGACCTTCACAAATGAATTTTACATTGAAGTTTTATACGTACGGGTGTTCTAAAATTCTATGTTTAAAGAATGTAAATCTTTAATACAATTTTAAAAAGTTATCCTCTATATGTGTGTTCATTTATTGTCGCGATGGTAAAGACACGCTATATAAACACTAGAAAAACAATATGTTCATCAATCACATTTTTCTAATATTGGGGAATAGAACCCACACCCTCTTGTGCAGGAGACGGATACATATTACGCTGATGCCAATTTTAACAATCACAATGTAATATTTTATTTTTTTATGCGTCAGTGTGAAGTTTTTAGTGTGGGTTTTTATGTTTTATGGTTTTAAGAATTATTTTGTATTAAGTACCGCCTATACATATCTGAGGGTATTAGGGCATAGTCCACCAAGCGGCCTCACTGCGGAATGGTAAACTTCACATATCTTCGAAATATTTTTTTGTTCGAAAATATGCAGGTTGGGCACGTGAATACGTTATATTGCAGAAATTTATTTAGAACAATAAACGTATCAAACATTTTGTTTTTATCCCAAGTTTCTTTATTACCTTTCGATTTGGTTGATTGAAGCTTTAAAATTTTGTACAAAAAACCGCGAAAGTTTTTCGCCGCTGTGGGAATTCCCGAAGACGTGGGTTTGATTCTACAAAATTTTAATGTATCATCTAAGTTGCAGAGATAAGCACTATAAAAATTTATATATGATTGGAGCTGTTTGGAAAAATTATTTTGCTTTTGTTTCTCTGAATAGTCACTCGTTCTGAGCGCTTGGAACATCTTTACCAAATGAAATACGAGTCAGAGAGGCACGCGTTATTGGAGAAGATGTATGAGGAAGTGGAGAAAGAGTTCACCAATCAGGTATGCCTTTGAAGAAATAAGTATGTCATAATATACTTGAGTCTTAATTACAATTCATTAAGACCATATTTATTAGGTATTATATATTTTTTAGGCTATTATTAATTTATAGGGTAAAAGGTACCTGTTTTGTTTTTTTTTTAAAATTAAAATCCACTGTTGAACATATGCCTCCCCTACAGACTGCCAGTCATGATGATGATGACCATGAAATTAAAATCTTTTCATCTTCATTTCAATCAGACTTTAAATTATTTGAATATTTGTAATACAGAATGAAACGGAACAAATTTTAATGAATGAAGTGTACATTTCAATTATTGTATGTAGCCAAATTTGTATGCCCAAAACTGGACTCGTTCGGGTACATAAGATGATTTAACGGGTCTGTGATAAGGAAAAACACATTTAAGTTTTATATTACAAAAAGATTGATATGATATACATAATTATAAATAATACACTAAATGCACTCATTAATATGTATACTTACTTAATTATTGCAGGAGTCTCAGGATTCCGAATGTGATTCTGAACTTATGAGGAGTATAAACAACGGATCGCAGATTTACAAAATGATGCGACAGAGTAGGGATCCCGGGGAATACAGAGTGAGCTTATTTGTTTTTAATTAATGTAATCAATTTCGAATTGTAGTTATATATATCTCAGACCGATGAGAAAGTATTGTCAGTAAAATAATATAACAAAATAATACCTAAATATTAAACTTCACCGAAGTATATCTACCGCACTTAGGAGTCGAGACACAACGTGTGAAACTTTTTCTCTAACACACATGCGTCCGATATGTTACACTGAGTAACGCATACAAACCCTCACATAATTCTCACATAATTCGTCGCGATTGGTTTGGGGTGTATATACCAGCAAAGGAAGAAACGGTTACTTACTAACTTCAACATCTTTAATTTTTTTTTATTTGAGAGGATGGCAAGCAGGCTGGTGTTTCACCTCATGTTAAGTGATAAACGCTGTCAATAGACATTTGCAACACCTGTAGGGTTGCAGATGCGTTGCCACCTTTTAGTAAAAACGGCCCCGACTATCTCCCTCACCAGACGAATCGCAGAAGTATGACACTTCAACTTCACGCCGTTTGTCTGTGAGGTGGTGGTACCTCGACGACGCCAATGTGTGGAGTTAATACTGTTGATACTCACGTAGGGTAGAATAAGACTATTATACCGGTATTTTATATTGTAAACTGATATCTTTGAAAAAGAGCAACTGTTGAGTTTCTTGCTGGTCTCTTCTCAACAAAAACTGCTTTCCTTACGAACCTCTATGTATAATTTTTTATGTAAAATTTGACGATTTTGACGATAAGAACACGCAAGCGTCTATTTGGATAAAGGTTTTTGATTGATTGATTGATACTTATCCGAACGGACCTGCCCATTAGTGCAACAGCGAAGACTGGTGTTTAGCTCTACCATAGTAAAAACCGTACACATCACAGTTCTCGATTTCAATTTCAAAAATCATTGCTTGTTTGTACTGTCCTTGTTTTGCATATATTTATGTAAGCTTGCCGGTTCACCTGTCATCATCAGTTTGATAAGTGACGCTGTTATTTTCCTAACAGGCAAACCTGACCAAGTCGCAGTGTGTTATGCTGCAAGATTACTCAAGCAGACGTAGAGAGAAGCTGCTTCAGACAGTTCAGTCCCGAGTTGAGGAGAGATTGAAAACGACCGGTCTACATACGGGCAGAAATGTGGTACCCGTAATGAAAATTAGATTGGCTGACATCAGTGATAGCGGTGAAATCTCTAAAGGTACAGTGGGATATTCAATCAATTGTTGGTAAACATTGCTTTTTTTCATCTTATCATGGCAGCACCATCTTAAATAATTATGTTTTTTGAAATCAGTGGATCAGACTGAATTCTAAACAACATTATAAAATTGATGAAACATTATTAAGACTATTCTTGATTAGAAATAATGATTGAGCGTTTTTTTTTTTGTTTTTGCTTATTTATGATTTCATGTCAAAAACTTATGGCAAACCATAAAGATATTTTGATTGTAGCAATGATGTCAGTGTGGAGACCCAGTGACGCCGTGCAAGATATTATCAAAGAGGGAGTATGGATTGATATGTTCAACATTGTTCCAACGGCTTTGAGGTAATTTAAACTAATTTTAAACCTAAGAAGTGAACAAAGATAACATGTCCCCAAAAGTGTCCATAATTTGACATTTGCCTCTAAAACAGTATAAAGTATATCATTTAATCACCTTGTTATTCCTGTTGGTATGTGGTTTTTCATTGTGGTACAACCATACAGCGTTTTGTGTTTGCTTTGCTTGAGAAGAAGGTGAAGTGGAAGTATTCCTACCTATCAAATCCCCCAGTGAGGTAATTGGGGACCACTCTTGCTTGTCTCTTATCTCAATCAATCAATCAATCAATCAATGAAAAGGCATTGCCTTATTTTTTGTTATATATACTTGAGAAATTCATGGGTATGTTATCAACTCAGGTCTCTTAACACAGTAAAAGTAAATTAACAAACTGTATTTGTCCTACTGCTGGGCAAAGGCCTCTTTACAAAGGATATTAGGCCATAGTTTACTAGATCTCACTGCTGCGTGGCAGACTTCATATATATGATGCAGGTTTCTTCACGATTTTTTCCTCACCATGAGCATGTGATAAGTCAGCACTTAAAATTAACAATTTCGTTGGTGCCGGCACTGAGATTTAAATTCAGTTTGAATTAAAGCCGAGCGCCCGGACTCTGAGCGAAATATCACGGCGTCATCTTAACACGTGCCAATGTTATAATAGTTTAAATATTTATCATGTTTTCATCGGTGAAAGAAAAATCTGGCATTTTTCTTAATAATGATTTACAAATAATATTTCGAAGATATATTCCGCAGTGATGTCGTAATGGACCATATACAAAGCGGAAGCCTTTGCCCAGCTGTGACATTTATAGGCTTTTATTTTACTATACTTACGTAATAAATTGCGCTCTTTTCAGACTCTCCGAACTACAGTTCTCCGCAGGGAGGCAGACCATTTTCAGCAGGTCGAACTACAAGGAAAGTAGTAAAACTGAACACATTACTTCACAACTCAAAAGGACTTGTTGCAGTATTAAGGATTTAGTTAAGAACCCAGTGATGAGCACATACTGCAACGAAGTGGACTTAGTCGGACTTGTTTTTCTGGTTGATCCCTCTATGGCTGACTTCGAATCCATTAAGGGGCAGCTGTTTCAAAACGTTTATCTGACGGACGCGGAGAAGAATATCGTGTGTGTAAACTTTTGGGGTGGACTGAAGAAATTCGGTTACGAGAACATCCTCGACACGGGTCAGGTTCTGGCGTGCATGAATTTGCAAAAAAGGGCGGGAAACTCTAGAAAGAGCATACCGCAGTTTCGCGCCACAGAATTCTCCCATTTCACAAAAACGCCCAAAATGTTAAACTTGCGGCAAGTCGTTGAGGATTTAAATAGAACTCTATCCAGTATTAATATTAAAAAGTTAACCGAAGAGTGTGTATCTAAGAAGAATCATTATTCAATATTAAAGTATAGTGACGGCGAGAACATATCACCGTACAGAATTAATTATAGCGACTACAGCGTATCGAGACATAAGGCGTACATAGATTCGCCGTTAACACGGAAACGGAATTATATGGATGACGTTTTGAATCTTAGCGGGTTGGACTTTGAATCGACCTTCAAACAAACTGACACGCAAGACATGGCGCCCAGTACACTGCTGAGAAAAAAGAAAGTGAACGAAAAAATTGCTAAATTGAAAATGTATGGCGAGCCCCCACCCATAATCCCAATACATATTATAAATCAATCTAATAATGCAGCTAGGGCTTTTAAAAATCCGCTATCTTCGAAAAACAGCGTTTCGACCAATGTTTATAGTGAAACATTTAAAGAACAAGCAACTTGTTCTATCCCACATGATAATTCTAGTCCTAAGTTATGTTTTAAGAACTCTATAAAAAGAAACAGTGGCAATCCTGTTAAGTTAAACTTTTCTAATGCTCTATCTACGGACGACGTTAAGGAAAGCAAAGTTGGTGATCCATTTGCAGAAGAATTTGATGTTAGTCCGCCTTTAAGTCTAGATTAAGACGATTTGGTGATATATGTACAAATGTACATTTTTGTATAAATTATAAAATAATAAGAAGATTGAAAAGTTTCTAAGATACTTTTAAAACTATTCTTTATTTTTGTAAGCTGTGAATATCATAGTTTATTTAAAGTCTTTACAGAGCATTGCCATATTAAATATGTTATAATAGTTTTTGTAAATATCGGCTATTAATGACTATTTCTTACCTGATTGAAAAGTATCAGTATTTAAATGCCTAAATTAATTGTTATATTGTTGAAATATATTATAGTAACTTTATTGGTTTTTCATTTGAACAGTGGTTAACATTTAATGCGTAGGTCGTAGAATTAAAAAAATCATTAATAAAATTTAGTCACGAGAAGAGTTGTATTGCATATACATATATATAGTTTGAAAATATCAGTTTTATTTTTTTTTACATCTTTCTGTGCACCTACCTAATATTCTCTATTCCACCCCAAGGTTGACTGGAAGATAATGCCTTTGGCATTAAGTCCGCCTTTGTACTGTTTGTGTATAAAGGGTAAATAAATAAATATCTCATAATAATTGTAATTTCAAAATTTATGCCAGAGCTTCACCTCCACGTTTCTTAACAGTTTCATAATTAATTGTAATCTGTTCGTTAGTGAATTTCATTATAAAATTTAATACATGTACTAAGAAACGAATTTCTGGTTTTAGCCAGTCTAAATATCGGTACTTCCAGAGTGTCACCACGGTTTCGTTGCGATGTGGTGTTTTTTGTAAAAACATACCACACTTGGGGTACAGGAAACTTTAACAAATCCAATTTTTTGTTTAAGTAAATTTTAAAACAAACGAAATTTTAAGCTAGCAACATTATAAATATCTGTCCTGTCCTGTCAGTTGAAGGTCACCTTCATCTCATTCCCGTTTGACGTTTCATAACCTGCAAAAAATATATTAATTTGAATTTTCTACCCGCGTAGTCCTGCGTAATGTATTCGTATCGTTTAAAATAAAAACGTAATCTGTAAAAATCGGCAAAAAAGTCGCGTAGTGCCACGTATGCAGTGAAAATTTTGTGATAAAGCTGAACAAACTGAGTTTTTATTCGTCGGCGTTTTCTTTTTATACTTTTCTAATCGGTGAGCGAACTTTTTTATGGTCCATTGGCCTCCATCGCTTCTTCTTCATTAATGTTACGAGAATTTAAAAAATAGTTTGGTTTCGATTTGATTTTCTCTCATAAAATGAGACATTTTTGAATTTTTACTACCTATGTATTAATATTAATTGTGACCTTTTAGTGTTGACACAACTTCGCTGCTGCTTTCATGCAATAGTGTAGTAAAATATTATAAAATCTTTAGTAAAAAAAATAGTAATATATTTTTCTTTTTTCAATTAAATAAAAAACATGTTTATAGTTCCGTAGAAGCAAACATTCTTTTTAGCTTTTTTAACATTTATTTTTATTATTACTATAAGTAATATTTCTTTTATCGTTATATAAGAAGAGGTTTAATAATACTTGAATAAATTAAATTATGTAACAATTACAAAAATAATTATGTTATCAATAACCAAGTATTCATATATTTTTGTATCTTTTTACTACCTGTTGAAATATTACTAAACATGTCACTTAGAAAAGTCAAAAGTATGTCTTGTACTCACCTATTTACTTTATATTAATTTCTCCATGTTTCAATTATCTTGTTTTTTATGTATGACAACAGCATTAATCTATTTTTGTTTGTTTAATATGTTTTATTAATACCATGCCCGAATTGTGAAATATTTAACAATATTGTATTAGATAATTTAACAAAAACAACTCCTTAACTGAAACATTGACTTGCACTTGACTTACTAATGCTATATACACCGACTGTCTCATGTTGAAGCAAATCTCTTAATACTAAGGCTCTGAATTAATAATTTGACTGATCAAGTTCTCAAAATAAATTTGTATGTAAGAGTTAAAATAATTTAATGTAATTTAAGTAAGATATATTTATTCTCTAAAACAATAAGTACACAATTTTATATTTATTGTGTGCATAGTTTTGATAACTCAGGTACGGAGATGAAATAACAGTTTTCTGTTATTATTTGTATATTACATTCATGTAAAAATGTGGTTTTGTTAGACTTCCATACATTAATAAATTATAATATTAAATATGTGCATTTGATAATAGAATGTTCGAAAGTAAAGTTTCTATTGTAAATATTTATTAATTATTATAAAAAAAAGTTAATTAAAGAAACATAATGTCCAAAGTTGATAAAATAGGATTGTTTCATTTTGTGAATTTTTCGATTATTTTAAAAATTTTTCAACCAAACATATTTTAGGATGTTTCACGTAAATGACAATAATTTGAGCAGGAAAAATGCCTTCTGGACATGCTTACTTGTTGCTCATCTTTTTGGCAGAAAACAAAAGCATTCTATATTTTATAAAACAGTCACTGTTAGTTTACGCGAGTCGAAACAAATGTGCGTGTAGCAACTGTATATAATAATAACATCGTAGTAACAATAGAGTCTATTAGATGCTATTAGAAGCTGTAATTTACTGTAAATATATTACATAACTTTGATTTACTCATTTCATATCATTCTCAATGGTACACCGTATGCGAATTCGCAGGTTATAACGATGCTGGTTTGCGTAAATAATACATCTCTTACTAAATGATTTTCCCGACTTTTCGAACCCTTTCCAGCGATCGTGGTCAACGGACAGTATATCAAGTGACCATGAACGTCTTCAAAATTGAAACGCAAAACGCGATAAAATCCGTAAAATTGGTATTTTCATTTAAAATATATAATATTCGGGTAAAAACAAGAAATCAATAGATCTCTTGATTTCAAGTTTTATCCAACACGGTACTGTTATACTTCTGTACTCTGTAGTACCCTCACCGCTTATTTTTTAAATCGCCCCTATAATTTTTTTTTTTTTTCTAGAAAAACCGGGTTATGGACGTAGACAATGGATTTTGCTGTAATGATTTCTTTTATTTACGCGACTGTAGAGTACTAATAATGTTTAAATAAAGCTGTTTTACCGATTTAATCGTGTTTAACGAATTTAAAAACAAAACTAAACGGAACTTAATAATTTTAAATGGTTTTATTGAACCTTATATAGATTTTCTCGGCATATTCTGTCTATCCTTCTCTTAAAACAGTCCCCATGAACTACATGATTCCTTAAGTATTACTAATTGTTTTGATTTCTTAATTTTAATGAAAACACATTGAAACTGATAACGTGCTACTCTTAACTTGCAAATATAGTATATGATAAAAATAAAATTGGTTTAAAAGTTCGTTTATACATATAAATATGAAATCTGCCGAGGACGTTGTGTTGGCCATCTCCCATTCAACAAGGCAAACTGAGCTAATAATTTCTGTTGAAAAATAAGTGAATCCAAGTTGCGCCTGGTAAGGTGAACTAATAAATGAAACTATGTTAATTTGAAACGTAGGGAATTAAAACCAAAAATAAACGAGATAAATCGCGTAATCGCAAGTATTTTTTTATTTTTATTTTATTTTTTTTTTTTTTTTTTTTTTTGAAAAACATTGCCCTTTAGGATAACATTATCCTGTGTTGTAGGGACGTTTTACAAACATAAATTTCACGCGGACAAACGCCCAGATGCGAAACAACTACCTGTGGGTCACACAAATAGTTGTCCCGTGTGGGAATCGAACCCACGACCCCCGACGCCGAAGCCAATACCTTGGCAACTGTGCCACGGAGTAATGTGTAATCGCGTAAATACGAGAAATTATTAAGGTGAATTAACTTAATAATTCAGCTTGCTTATTAATAATACTGCTTTTACGGTGGTAGGGCTATGCAGCAGCCTCGGCTGTTGCACGAATGGGCAGGCTCGTCCGGGTAAGTACCATGACCTCACAGAGCCCGGCGTAAAGTGGAAGTATAGTACTTTCGCGTTTCGTCTGGTGAGTGCGGTAGCCGGAGCCCAATTTCCAAAAAGGTTGTCAACGCATCTGCAAACCCTCGGGTGTAGCAGATGTCTATGGGCGGCGGTATTCACTTAACATCAGGTGAACCGTCTGCTTGCTTGACAACTTTTCACATAAAAAAAAATGGTTTCACCTTCCATAACATCGTATTCTAATCAGTTTTGATAGGAGACCTGAAATAGGATCCGCCACGGAAAAAATCGTTAGCACTATGTACCTCTAACTTTAATGATATTTTTAAGTTATATAATTCCGTTAAACCACTTATCCTAGCGTAGAGGCGTGAAATTTACCAATAATACACATTTATGCGCTATATATGAATATTAATGAGAACTCCTTACATCCCAATTGGTAGATATAAATAAAGAAAAGGTCATGTTTTCTGTAATATTTGTATTCATTCACTTTATTTCTCATAGTTATCAGATAGACTTTCAAAGTTTGCTTATATAATAAAAAATATACACCTATAATATTTGTATTCATTCACTTTATTTGTCGTAATTATCAGATAGACTTTCAAAGTTTGCTTGTATAGTAAAAAATATACACAGCTAACGATAATTAAGTATAGTTATATTCCACCTGGCACACCTCTCAATTGTTTCGCATCAATGGTAGTAAATAAATGTCTAAAAATACCATGAGCAATTTAATGAAATATAATTAATAATATGCAGCAATGGGAAACGTTTGGATACCCAACATGAAACAGTACAGCCTTACAAAAGTAGCAATGTTTCTGCGCTGTAATTGGAACAGGAATCCCACTACTTTTTTCAATGTTCATAGTTAATAGAGCAATCGTCTACGTGACGTAGAACGCTTGCTCCGTCGCCATAAAATGTGATTAACAAATGAGTTTGATGAGTCCGTGGCGCAGTTGCCGAGGTATTGGCTTCGGCGTCGGGAGTCGTGGGTTCGATTCCCACACGAGACAACTATTTGCGTGACCCACAGATAGTTTCTTCGGTTCTGGGTGTTTGTCCGAGTGAAATTCA